GAATAATCTGAGGGCCAAGATACCACTGAGAGGCAGAGTACAAGTAACACTAAGTTAAAAGCATCTGCCGAGGCAGGGAGCCCAAAGAAGATGGATATAGTACCCCACTGAGGGATGGGAAGGATAGGACCCTTTCTCCGAGATGGGATCCTGTAGTCCAGGCTTCTAATAATCACTTCTCATTTCGGAGCTGCACCCAACTGAGTAGAATAAAAGCCTCAAGATGGAAGATTCAGTACTGTAAAGATTTCAATTTTACCCTATATGTTCAATGTAAGCCTAACAAAAAATCTCAACAGGTTCTTTTTCTCAAAAATTGACAAGCTGATTTTAAAATTCATAAGAAAATGCAAAAGATCAAGAATAAGGCAATCTTAAAGAACAAAGTTGAAGGACATACAGTATCAGATATCAGGACCTATCGTAAAGATAGAGTAATTTAAACAAGATGGTATTGGTGCTTGGATAGAAAAACGGACTATGGAACAAGAAAGTCTAGAAACAGCCCCACATATACGGTCACCTGATTTATGATAAAAGTGTCACTACAGTGCAGGATAAAAAAACCCAGCAATATAATGGGTCTAACAAAGGCTGCATATCACTTAAGGGTGAATGATCCTGGAAGCATTCTCCCTACAGTTAAGAACAATTTAACTTTTATTGGAGATGGGGGGCAGGAATAGGGCATGTTAGAATGCCAGAAGCTTCCCTTTTTAATCGAGATTTAGCAGTTTTTAAAATAAATGCTCTTCAGATTGTGGCAAGCCTTTAGTTTCTAGAGTTCTAAAAAAAAAAAGTTGATTTTGACAATTTTTGCGAGTGTTCTTATTGCTTTTATGGAGAGGCCAGTTTTCAGAGGTCCTTACTCCATCGTTTTGGAAGTTGCTCATTTTACTCTTGACATTGGGTAGGGAAGTATCAAGAGACGCCCTGGTGGACGGAGTAAGCGTGTAATATATGCCTTCCTGCCCTCACTGTGTGACAATAACCCTACTTCCTCCTCATGATCACATTCACTTATCCCCACCCAGAATGGGGACTCCTCCTTGCCTGCTGGTCTCTAAGCACAAGGAGCCTGATGTGACTGGGAAACCTCAGTAGGTTAAAGTTTAAAGGGTCTATTATTTTATCTCCTGATGAAACAGTTCCCCAATTAGGAACCAGCCCTCTAGTCTCACAAAGTTGTGGGGATGGGAGGCACAAACTCCCCAGGTGGCCCCGTGGGGACAGTAAGTGGGTATGTTACCTTCCTGTTGCTGCCATAACAAATAACCACAAACTCAGTGGCTTGAAACCACATAAATTTATTCTCACAGTTATGGAGGTCAGAAGTCTACAATCAAGGTGTCAACAACTCTGTTCCTACTGAAGCGTTCTCGGGGAGAATCCATTTCCCTGCCTTTCTCAGTTTCCAGAGGCTGCCTGCATTCCTTGGCTCATGGCCCCTTCCTTACATTACTGCATCCTGCTACAGTCATCACACCTCCTCCTACTTGTATTACCTCCCTCTTATAAGGACCTCTGAGATTATATTGGGCCAACCTGGATAATCCAGGATACCCTCCCCATTTTGAGATTCTTAATCACATCTGCAAAGTCCCTTTTACCCTGTAGATAACGTATTTACAGAACATGGACATATTTGGGGGGCATTATGTAGCCCACCATAGTAGGAATTCTATTTCTACCCTTTCAATCCTAGCTGTGCATTTTCTATCTATATGGGACATGGACTATGTAATAGGTGTTTAGAGTGTATACTGCATCCTGATGGATGGCATCTCATTCATTGGGCATTATCTCCAAGCTTTGGTCTGGTGTCAAAAGGTTTTTCCACCACTCCACCAGGCCAGCATTTTCTAGGATGTGATAGGACTGGTGAATCACATGGTCATGTGTCCACCGAAACACCTTCGCTGTAAATCAGATCCCTAGGTCAGAGGCAATATTACGTAGTTTACACTTGTAAACCCTTGGATAGTGATGCTGGCCAACATCTTGTGGGCAGGAAAGGCAAACTCATACATGCAGATGTGAAGATTCTGGTCAAAGTGAATCACTGCCCTTCCGTGACAAAAGTCCAATGTAATCCACTTGCTACCAATTAGCTCTTTGTTTTCCTTGAGGGATGGTGTTGTTTCAAGGGCTCAGTGCCGAATACTAGGGAGTGGCTCCTTGGTGAGTAGAGGCCATGCTGTTGGCATCTTGATAACCTACATCCCTAAACATGACTTTATTCATGAGCCCATTATGCTATTGGGGTAGCTCATGACTACAACTGCTAAAATTAACTGGCCAAGTCTTTTTGTTTATTTGTTTAGTTCCTCTTGCATGGTGTAGGTCTCTGGTAGGCACTGTTCTGCAATACAAAGATTTTTACTCATGTTCCAATCCCAGAGATTTTTCCACTGCCTCTTCTCCTGGCTTCCTTGTCCCTGATCTAATCTTTCCCACTCCAGGCCCCTGATCAACTCGTCAACCTATCTGACATTTGCCATAAAGGTATATTCTTACTTCAGGCCACTTCTCTTTTCATACAAAGTGGACAACCAGAAATATTGCCAATTTTGCCTTTTGGGAGGACTCCCCTCACTTCTGAGGAGGGCTGTAGGGTAACAGCAGTCTATTTTTTTGTTTGAAGCCATATTCCAAGAAAACCTATCAATTAACTTAGCTGTGCATTTCTCTCCTTCATCAGCAAGACAGAAGAGCCTCTCAAGTGGCCATAATTGTGAGCTGAGGGAAGGGCACTGATGCAAGAGTTATAAATATGACACAGGAGTCTGGGCCACCTGCCTGTGCTACCTGTTCATTTCCTCTGGCCTTTCTTGTCATCCAGGAGTTATTGATGAGTGGGAGAGATGCAAAAACTTATTCTTTACTGTGAAGGAGATATCTTTTTTTTTTTTTTAAGATTTTATTTATTTATCTGACAGAGAGAGAGAGACAGTGAGAGAGGGAACACAAGCAGTGGGAGTGGGAAAGGGAGAAGCAGGCCTCCCACCGAGCAGGGAGCCTGATGCGGGGCTCGATCCCAGGACCCTGAGACCATGACCTGAGCCGAAGGCAGTTGCTTAACCAACTGAGCCACCCAGGCGCCCCAGTGAAGGAGATGTCTTAGCATTCAAGCAGACCAGCAGCCCTAAAAATTTCACTATTGTAACAGGTTGCTGCTGGATTGTATTAGTGATTATTTTCCATCTTTGGGGTGCAATACACTAGCTTGTTTATCTGACCTAATTAATATGATGCTATAAATATAGTAGGTTAGCGTGATATTCTGTGGGGTGTTCAGATGGTCTAGATCTCTTCAGACCATATTATGATGGGAGAGTGGAGTCCTACATGAATGCAAACTGCATCTTAGCCAGCTCTCAGGACCCAGGTTCCATGCATACCCTCATGGCTCCCAGTAGTACATGTTGGTTAGATCCTTTGACACATGGGCCCAGCTGAAATTGTTCAAAGTAGACCCAAAAATGAGGAGAGGGGGATACAGTTGCTTCATTGTGGTGTTGTGGAAGTGCAGTCTTATTCATAAAGTTGTGTTACCTTTACTTGAGTTATGAAACTATGCATACATATAGCTTTGATTTAAAAAAATAAAATTCAATTACTAACAGAGAAACTAGGACAATCTATCCATCTATATCTATCTACCTAATGGTGTACGTGCATCTTTATTGCATGGGCCATTCAATCCAGGAGACAATGATACGTGTGGGGTGTGTGTGGGTATGCATGTGTGGTATGTATGTGTGGTGTGTCTGTGGTATGTACCAAAATACAGTTTTAACCTCATATTCATTATTTTCTATTTGCATTTGATTCAACTTTGACCTTTAAAAAGCCAAAGAGAGGGCGCCTGGGTGGCTCAGTTGGTTAAGCGACTGCCTTCGGCTCAGGTCATGATCCTGGAGTCCCGGGATCAAGTCCCGCATCGGGCTCCCTGCTCAGCAGTGAGTCTGCTTCTCCCTCGGACCCTCCCCCTTCTCATGCTCTCTCTCTCTATCTCATTCTCTCTCTCAAATACATAAATAAAAAATCTTTAAAAAAAAAAAAAGCCAAAGAGACAAGAAGCAGAATGACAGTTTTTGGCCTCTCTGAAATTATGTGGTTGTTGATAGAGTAACCTGGCAGGTATTATCATATCGAATCAGAAAGATGCCATTGTATTTATTGTTAATATTTTTATATTCAGTTTATAATATAGGTAGGGATTCTAAGCACAACAGTGGTAAGAAATTTTTATGTGCTTTTTATGTTGAAATCTTGTGTCAGCTTAAGTACTTGTATATATTTATTATTGCTAGAGTGAATTTCTTCAATGATTGTGAAGGCTAGTAAACTTATACACTAATTATTATAAACTTCTAAATAGTTAAAAAAAAAAAAAGCTACACAAAACACATGAACAACCCCCCTCAAGGCACTGGACATAGGCAATGGACAATGATCCATGGGAGATGCAAACTCTCAAGGCGAGCCACTGAACCGCTCCATCTTACTGCCTGGACAAAGTTTCTGGCTTGAGGGGGAAGCCAGGTGGAGCCCAGCAGACTCCCTGAGGTGGAGATGGAACAGGGAGTCCTAGGAGCCCAGGAATGAGTCCAGAGAGTAGAATGACAGAGTGGAGAGAGCCACAGAGAACTCCAGACATCTGCTGACCATTCCCCTAAAGTAGCAGCTGAGTAATGATCAATACACACAGTACACACAAAAGGAAACTACCAAAGGCCAAGAAAATGACCGGTTTTATGGCTTGCCCAATTTGAAGTAGTTGCACCCTGAGGCCGTTCAGAATAACACATATTGGGTGTGCCCAGGGTGGGAGATGTGTGCCCAGGTGGGAGAAAGTGAATCAAAAATGCTATGTATTTGTCATCATTTTAAATTTCTATGTTTTTATATTTAAAGTGTCTATGTTATACTTTTATATCAATATATGCACGTAATTTATTAAAGTTGTGAAGTTAATGAACCAAGCAACTCACGGTTGAGGGAGTTTAATAAAATTATCATTACTGCTTTTTAATCACAACCTCTCCATCAAGTGGGCGCCTTACCCGGCAACTAACACTGGCGCGCACAAGGGAAGCCTTCAGCACACATTCCTGGACGGGGGTGACAAACGCTCCATGAGCCTCCCGATCCTCTCAGTGGTTCTTCCTTGGTTCCATCAGATGCCTCTTCCTGACCAGGCCAATCCAGCAAGTGGTCGGAGAAAACTGTAACATAAATGGATATACTCAAGGTGGAGACAAGGCTTAAGGGACCCTTGTTTTCTTCCACTGACACGTAACTCTGGCTCATTCTTTAACTCTCAGTTGAAGCATCCCTGCTCCCATCTTCCCAGGCACACTCTCCACTCCACCCAACCCATATCCCCAAACATGAATGGCTGCCTCCTCTGTGTGCCTGTAAAAACCCGTTTGTCTCAGCACTTAGTACACGGTATTGTTTCTTCTGTGATCCCACCGTGGGCAGAACTCAGCTTGGTTTTTTTTTTTTTTAAGATTTTTATTTTTAAGTCATCGCCACACCCAGCGTGGGACTTGAACTTACAACTCTGAGATCAAGAGTTGCGTGCCCTACCTACTGAGCCAGCCGGGCGCCCCTCAGGACTTGACTTGACTTGACTTGACTCACCTCTGTGTCTCTGGCCCTCAACACAGTGCCTAATGGAGAAAGGACACAGTGCATCCCAATTAATCAATGAGTGGCTTTTCAAAATAAGGACATTCTACTTTAACTACTAAAGCAAATGTACAATTCCTCACACCGAAACTGGTAGTTCACCTTCTATAAAGACTACTGAATGAATGAAGTATTCACTATATGCCAGCCATTGTGATGATAGTTCATGTACAGTAACTCATTTAAAGCTAAAGAGTATCCTTCAGGATATGCACAATTGTTAACTCATAAGTTCAGATGGGGAAACTAAATCTTGAGAGGCTGCCTCAGGTCACAGACAAGGGAGAGAAGCCAGGAGGCATATGAGTGCAAACTCAATTCTAGGAAGACAGAATCCATGCCAATCTTCTGGCACCCCTGAACCCTCAAGGCCTGATGTGTACATCGCAGGGTGAATGAATTCACCCAGGTGTATCTGACTTCAGCAGCCTATCCATAGCTTACGGCAGAAAGGTAACTCCTCAGCCCCAGGACATGTGGCTCCCTGACTCACCTTCCTCATTGTTTCTCACCGGCTTTCCTTCCTCCCCATATTGGCTCAAGTCCCAGCAGTTTCAGTTTAAGGCTCACAAGCTACAGGCACACATGTGAGAAGAAACCCAATATGTATTAAAGATTTTTATTTATTTATTTGACAGAGAGAGAGAGAGTTAGCGAGAGCAGGAACACAAGCGGGGGAATGGGAGAGGGAGAAGCAGGCTTCCCGCCGAGCAGGGAGCCCGATGTGGGGCTCGATCCCGGGACCCCGGGATCATGACCTGAGCTGAAGGCAGACGCTTAACGACTGAGCCACCCAGGCGCCCCAGAAGAAACCCAATATGTAAAAGAGATGATTAAGGCAAACAGGCAGGCTGCTCTGTGGGATGGGAATGGAACAATTAGGCCCCCTTCTGGGGTGGGATCACCTGAGAGCTAACATCTCCTGGGGACTTACTATGTACTAGACACTATTCTTTTTAATCCTTATAACAACCCCCATCTTCAACACATCTCTCCCTGCTTCTGCTGTTCCAAATTGATCTAATGACGATGCTCCAAACATTTTCTGAGCAAACTTTTTGCACCTGTTTTTTTTTCTTCCACTAGCATCTGTTTCCACCCTGACTCCACTTACCAAAATCTTACTCAGTTTTTAAGAGCAATATCAAACACTACCTCTCTGAAGACTTCCCCATTCCCAGAACTTTTCTTCTCCACCTTTGCACTTCTATATCATGCTATCACTCATACGGTACTTTATTGTATTCCAATTCGTTCAGTTTTTGTGATATTTCTGCTGCTAGGTTGTGAGCTCCTCAGAGACTGGGGCTGTATCTAATGCACCTGCAGTTCATATACACAGCAGGCTCACCGATACTGTCCTTATTGACACTGTTACAAGAAAAGGGCAAGCACCTCCAGCCCAACCCCAGCCAGCCAAATGCCAGATACAATCATAATCCCGATAAAGCCACACTTTCCTGTTTCCTTCATCAAGAAAACAAGGCCAGATGGCTTCAAAGTGCACCAAACCAAAGCTCTGAAGTGCTTCTCAAAATTAGTCATCCCAAAGGTAAACAGTGATTCTCTGCAATTAGTCATTCCAATGGTAAACAATGGGGCTGGCCGACAGCCATAAAATAAGGTGAGGCTTGAAAAACTCTGCAAAGTATCTCACATTCCCAATAGCTCCTTATGTTGGCCCTGATGTCCACCAGAGAAAGAATATGGAAAGGGAGTCTGAGGCCTGTTAAAATCTAAGATTTTAATTTGAACTTTTAAAATAGCTAGCTTAGGGGCACCTGGGTGGCTCAGCCAGTTAAGCATCTGACTTTGGCTCAGGTCATTATCTCAGGGCTCCCTGCTCAGTAGAGAATCTGCTTCTCCCTCTGCCCTGCCCCCACCCCTCCTGCTCGAGCGCTCTCTCAAATAAAATCTCTTAAAAAAAAAATAGCTAGCTTATTGCACAAACTTAAGGCTGGAAATCTAGTTTCCCCATAATTTAAAGCAGTCATTCTTAATCTCTTTTCTACAACAACAAACATAATATGTAAGACACCTCCCCAACACTCGTTTAGGAATGCTAAAGGGAATGAAGTTAATAAAATAGAGTAATTCTTAAGCTCTTCCTTCCCTAATTTAGTCAGTCTTCGTAACAAAGCTGCACCATTTGAGTGCTTTGATTTGGGCTGTGTTGCTTAGTCCCGTGGATTTCATATCTCAAATCCATCCACTTCCCACTGCCACCACCCTAGTCCAAGCTACTGCCATATCCTCCCTGGCCAACCACAGAAGCCTCTTCCCAGGTCTCCCTGCTTCTACCCTGGCCCCACTCTGGTCGATTTTCTACATTGTAGCTGGAGTGATTTTGGAAACAGCACTGTCTTTCACTCTAAAATAACCAATGCCCTGTGTACAACTGCTTATTAGACAACAGCCAACGAGACCATTCACAGAAACCCTCATCTTGCAAGTAAGGAAATACAAGGCCAAAAGAATATTGGAACCACATACCCAAGTAAGACAGGACTGAGGTCAGAATTCATTGTACAGGCCTCATCTCAATAAGCCATACTGCTTCTCCCAGATATGTAGTTTGTTCTCAGTGTGTTAACGGAAGACAAACAAGATGACTTGGACTGATCTAGAGCCTGCTTTCAGGGACACAAAATATTAAAATAGGTTGCCAGGAGAAAAGAGGGGTGAGAACCCTGCCTAAACTTATGTATTAAGGGTCACTCACATGTAGATCCTTGTGTCTCAGGATCCACCTTCTCTAGCCAACTAGAGGACAAGGGCGGCATTCCAAATCCAACACTATATGATCCACGTGGGGAGCATAGGATTTCACTGGTTGGATGTGCAGGATTTGTGTCTTCCACGGTGTCCCGTGCACCTGCTGAAGAAGGGTAGCAATACGGGTTTCTGCAGATTCCGCCCACCTCTGCCACTCTGGTTTGGTGGCTGCTGATAGCGTTCTTCTCCTAGAATCCCTGGTTGCTCCATTCGTACATTGGTTGGTGATAATTTGCTGAGGATAAGGCCGATGCTCCTTCTCCATTTCACCGCTTCCAGGAGGCTGGAGATTCTTGCCTGGATAAGATTCCACATTTTGGTGGATATGCAAAATGCCCCCTGCATCCCGTCTTAGCACTTGGCAGGCAATGGGCCAGCCTTCTTCAGAACTGGGTATCAGTCCCAGGTTCACCCTGTCTGCAATGTTTGAGAGCTTCAGTTTTCTGTTATCCCCAAAGTGTATTTGGCACCGATCTGCCACTCCATTGATATCAAGGTTCTTTCTCAGAGCAACTACAGCATGGGGGTTCCACTCACAGGCATGGACGAAGGTAACACCAGCATGGACTAGGAAGGGCAATGTAAAATAACCAATCCCTGCATAGAGATCCACCAGCACTTCTCCAGCACAGGGCAGCGATGCCACTCGAAGCTTCTCAGTGATGTTTCCGAAGGAGAACATGCACTGGGTCACGTCAAACTTATATCGGATCCCGTTATCCACATGCTCCACCCAGCCATGGTCGCCCAGCAGCAGACTCACTGCTGGTGTTCGAGTGCCATCTGGTGACACCCGCCCTCGTTTGGCCACACGACAGACGCCAAGTGCAGACGCAACAGTCTCCCAGAGTTCTGGTTCCAGACTTTTCCATCGCTTGGCTTGGAAACAGTCCTCGCTCAGCAACAAGAGGTCACCATGTCGTTGCCAAGACCTGGGCAAATCAGCTTCCAACTCAGGTGACCACGTCACTCCCCGGGCCTCTGCCCAGCGACTAACTTCAAGACACAGCCTTTGGGCAGGTGAACAACCCTGGGCCTTCTTTGAGGGAACAGGATCCAGGAGCTGCGTTACTATACAGGTGCTGCCTGGAGCCAGACGATCCCTCAGCTCTTGAAGGTGCTGCTCAGGGAGAGTCTCTCCCAGCACCGGCAGCGCCACCGTGCCATCAGGCATCTTTTCTACACGGTGCCGTCTATCCAGGAGTTTCTGCTTCTCGAGATATTCCCTGTATCGCTGGGTAAACCGAGGCTCAGTCACAACCGCGACAACAGCCGCAGGCTTCCCACCTTCCCTTTCCATGTTGCTGGCCTCACATTCTCTCGGATTCCCTCCGTGAGACTCTCTCAGACTCCACTCACTCGGCTCGGCATTATTGACCGCGGCTGCAGAGGAGCTGCGCACAAGCCCGGGAGCCGGTGTCGGAAGTGACGTCAAACGGACAGGCCGGAAGTAAATATTGAGGCGCCCGTTGGCAAGTAGCGTCGCCGTTGCCGTGATGAAGCCGCTGCTGCCATCTTTGTTGTGGTTGACGGTTAACTTGCTGCCGCCTAGCAGAAGATTAATAATAAGGAGTTCTGTGGGCTTAAAGACGTGCAATTAATCGGTATCCTCCAGAACCCTCGTGCACTGTCTCCAGTTCTGCTCACGAATCCAAAGAGAGAAGTGCACTTAGAATGATGGGCCGAATTTGGAGAAAGGCTTCCCATCGTCTCATGCTGCTCTCAGGTCAATGTCAGTGGCCACAGCATTTGCTGAGAGTGAAGAGTCGGCAATAGCTTCCTCATTCCCTTTCCCTGTTAAGATTGTCGTAACCCTCTCACTGTCCTGAAGTATAAAAACAAACAAACAAACAAACAAACACAAAAAGCCCACAAATGTTTGGAAGTCAGAAGGATCTGAGTAAATCATATCACCTCTCAGAACCAAAATCGTCACCTGTAAAGTAAGACTTAGGTTAACTTTCTCAGATGATTGTTATGGCTGAGATATTATATATAAAACGCTTTGAACAGTGACTGGCAAAAAGTAGATACTCTAAAGAGATATAATGTGATAAGTTGAAGTGGTTAGATAGTAGATATTAAATACCTATTGGAATGCTTTGGTAAACTTAATGAGGACAATGAGGAATTCCTCTACACCTAAATTCAAATAATGGAAACTAAGAGTTGGAAAGAAGCCCTGTTCTTTCTACTTACCTCCCACCATTCTACACATTAGGATATTGAGACCCAGAGAGGTTAACATTCATAAAGTTCCCCAATTCAGGTCTCTGTGTATGGGAGGCACAAGGCTATGGTTAAAACAGTTTCTTGTTTCTTGACACCTATTCAGTATCAATCAGAGTTGTTGTTGTTGTTGTTGTCAGTTTTGTCTCTATGTTTAAAATTCAGATTCCATGGAGAAAATATCAAGTGGGACAGAGTAGAAGACCCTTTTGGTGCCCCACATAAATTTGGGACTCACCATTCCCATATATGCCAATCCAATGGTTTCTAACTAAAGCACTTAGTCTGCCTGATGGCTTTCTCTGCTCACCAGAATTGGCTTAACATATGTTTGAGGCCAGAAATGCTGGGGAATTACTGCCCACCCAACCCCCACCTCTTGAGAGCATTCCTCAACCAGCAACCGATGGAAGTTGGTGAATAAATTTCCCAGCTTCCACACACCTTAGTTGGAATAATTCTAAGGTATGTTCTAAACTGTCTCCCAGCATTCTCTCAGGACTTCAGTTTTTCAGTAATTCTCTCTATGTCACGCACATTCAATTTCTCTTTCTCTTTCTCCTGGATTATTCCCAAAACACACTGCCACTTGCCATCTTTAACGACCTCCCTTGATTCTTCACTTCCACTGCTATTTTCAAGTTCATATTTCCCACCACTCCATATCTCCCACTCCCAATTCCAGTACCATTTGTGTCTTTAACATCTCAACTTGGTGTCTAATAGGCGACTCATACTTAATATGTGTAAAACAGGTTTCTTTCTGCCACTGTTCCCATGTATATAATAGTACCATATTATCTAGCATCCAGCCATTTACTCAAACACACAGTTGAGAAACTATCTCTAATCACCTCCTGCCTCCCACCTTTTCCTCAACTTCCTATAGGTATTTGGTGATTAACTATCAGGTGTTTACATAGTCTATATACTCCATATACTTTTATAACCCAAAGTATATACTAAATTGGTCCACCTCTTTTGATCTCCCTAGCCACCTTCTGGGACATAGATTACTGTAGCTGCCTTCTCACTGGTTTCTCCTTTAGAACTGTTACCTTCCTTTTTTCCTCTACATATACCAACCAGGGTGAGAATTTTCAAAACATTCTGATCCTATCTCTCCCTACTTAAACAGTTCCTGCCTACCCATTGTTCAAAGACTATGCATGACTACCCACCAGACTATGCATGATCTGGCTCCTAAATCTCAGTCTGAGACTGAAAATAGGCCATGCCTTTTCTCATGCTTTTACCTTTGTACTCACCATTCCCTTTGTCTGAAATGCCCTTCCCTCACATGATGGAATGGCTGGGGATTTGTCTGAAGGTCATCTTCTGGTGGGGCCTTCATTCAATTCAACACTCTCTTTTCCCTCCACTGTTAGGTCTACTTAATACTGTTTGTTAATTTTAGGATGCTTGTGTGGCTCAGTCCATTAAGCCTCTGACTTGGGCTCTGCTCATGATCTCAGGATCATGATCTCAGGGTCGTGGGATCAAGCCCCGCCTTAGGCTCCCCGCTCAGTGGGGAGTCTGCTGAAGATTCTCTTCCCTGTCCCTCTTCCTCTGCCCCTCTCCTGCTCATGCTTCCTCTCTCTCTCTCAAAACAAATAAATCTTTAAAAAAATACTGTTAATTTCTCCTTGATTGCTATTTGTTTAGTCTTAAATGTCTGTCTTCCCTAGTAGCAAATAATTTTCTCATAGGCAAGGAATGTTCTTTTTCTGTTCGCTGCTATATCCCCAGCATCTTGTATAGTTCCCAGTCACAAGTCATTGCTTGGCAATACTATAGTAATTAAGAGAATGACTGCTTGATCACCAGAAGACTTGAACATGTTTGTACCCATTCAAGCAGGAATCCATTCCATGAATGTAGAATGATCAGAAATTCAAACAAAGATTGATAAGCTAAAATACTCCTTACTGTTTTACTTAAACCTACAGTTGGAAGGTTAAATGAATTATGGTACATCCTTTAGATGGAAATAATAAACAGTTGTTATGATTATAAGAAATATTAATGACACAGGAAGTTACTCCTTATACAGTGTTAAGTTGCAAAATATACAACTATGCCTTAGATGATATTTATTTAAACAAGTTTATGAGGGTAAATGTGAACAGTGATGCATAGTGATTCCCTACATGTGATGTGATTATAAGTGATTCCATTTTCTTTTGTATATTTTTCTCTACTTACAAGTTGCATGTGATGAACGAATGTTATCTTTATATCTTAGAAAAATCTTTAGAAAATCCTTGAGGCAGCAAAAAAGTTGTTTTCTGGGTCCCTTTCATTTTATTTGTAGTGGAAGGTGAGAAAAGTCGTATCTTACAAAGTGTTTTTTCTCTAGGTTTCCTTCTGTTCCAAAGTCAGTTTGACACTTTACAACAATAACTAAAATAATGTAGCAAGGACTTTGACCCAGATATACCCTACTAGTAACCTGAGCTAAACATAATATTGGGGGATATGATTTGAAAGCTAAATTAATATTCGAGAGTTGGAAACGGTCCTTTAAAAATTTGCAGATTTACGAATGATCTCCATTTGTACATGGCCGTCTTGATCCACCATATCCCTCAAGTGCGTGACCTTTCCCCACCGTTTCCATCATGTGAACTCATTAAAATGACAGGAAAGCAAGAGCAACCAACAACGACAATAATAAACAAGCTTGTAGACAACCCATGAGTTCCAACGCAGAAGAGGATGATTACTTAGTAAAGGAGAAGTAGGTCAGGGAAATTAACTGCAGAGGGAGAGGGGAGGGTGGGAAAACTTTATCACAAATCGCCTCTCCTGAAGTGGCCAGAATTATTTAATTCCATATGAATTTTAGTCAGGGAGCCCACAGCTGGAGATGAGTTTGTTACCACCTCTTCTTGATGAGATGCCAAACCAACGGACCGTCCACCTGCCTTTCTTGTGAGAGGCGACATTCAATTCTTTAAGGGCCAGCAGCTTTCGTGTAGGAAGGAGGTTCTACACGGTGTTGGGCTGGCTGTATACACGAGAGCTTGCCTCCATGGCTTGAGAGATCCTGGAGCCTAGAGATAAAGAGGAATAATTGCTTTCACTTTCTTAGTTTTCTTTTCCTTCTGTTCTTCCCTCCGCTTGCTGCACCTGGAATGTTGTTCCCTTCCCCTAGGTGCTTCTTCATTTGTTCATTTTAGCATCACTGCTGTGTTTTTTGAACAACTGTTTGCTAACTTCCCTTCACGGAACTCTATTCTGAGTTGTAGATATGCTCACGAATACTTCTGATGCCATGAGTGAAGTGTGACTGGAGTTGCAATTTCAAGTGCTTTGTGAGCATGGAGGAGAGATTAAGCCATCTCTCTCTTGCATTTTGAAGAACACATTCTGTTGCTTTTCCTCCTACCTCACTGAATGCTTCTTCTTATGGGTGTACCTGTCTACCTCCCCCACCACATTTGATTTTCCCAGACACTTCACACTCAACACTTCCAAAATGGAACTCAGCTTGTGTTCTCCCCACTCCTCTTTAGCTCATGAAATGCCCCTGCCAGTGTCCTAGTTGCTCATGTCACAAACCTGGGACTTTTACTTATGCCCCTCCCTTGCCCTCAGTGCTCACAACAAAACCACCTCCATTTTGAATGGACTTTACCTGCTGCAGAGTTCCCCAGAGAGAATGCCCTTCTCTCTGCACAGTGTCCTAGACCGTGTCTCACAGTTTCCTGAGTGGATTGTTCACCTCTGTTTACTTCACCGATAACATACTCTTATTTAACTCCCTTTACTTTATGTCAGAGTACTTGAAGTAAAAACCAAGATGGTGAAGAATTTTTTTCATAAGCTTTGTTTTATTATATAAAGAGCTACATTGTCACATTACGAAGTACATAATGCCATAATTGAATGTTCCATTATTGTACGTGGGCTTTGAATAATTCATATTATGATACTCGGAGCTTGAGACTTTGTAATATTTAAGTTTATAAAAACTCAAAAATAACAAGATTTAATAAAATTTTTATTTAAAAAGTTCTCACTTTAATCCATTAGTAATTTCATTCCATCATGGCCAGAGAACATACTCTGTATACTTTCAATCCTTTTAGGGTTATCGAGGCTTTATTTTATGACCTAGCATATGGTCTATCTTGGAGAATGTTCCAT